ATCATCCTGAGCCGCCTTGGGGCCTCTTTCAGCCATCTTGAGGCAATTCTGGTCCGTCAACAGGCAGCCGTCTTGGCTGCATGACACCATGTCCACCGGACCCCCAGGAGTAGGCGTGATGCAGGCGACTGGACGCGACGTGAGGGGTGGGTGGGCCCCTCAGAAACCTGCCAGGTAGCACTGGGCATTCTTCCACGCCTCAACGTGCCAGGAGGCACGGTGGCGGACGAAGTCTGAGTTCTACGTTGGCCACATTGTCGGGCGAGCCCGTGGGGACCCAGGGTGGCCGCTCCGACGATGTGATTTGTTCAATTCCAGTGTTCTTTATTTATAGATGTTTTTAATGATGAGGGATAAGAGCTCGACATATCCTCCTTCGTCGGCCTTAAGCGATTTTCGTGCCAGCGGGTCCTGCTGGATGTGCGGCAAGAGCGGTTGTGGTGGTGGTGATTGCGTTTTTCCTCGATGTCGGCCTTTGGGTCCGTCATCGGTCGTCACCAGGGCCCATGATCATCATCGCACGGTCTGTCATCGCATCGTCCTTGAATCCCGGAATGAAGGGCCATGATGATGATGGTGGTGATGAAGATGATGGCGACAAGACGAGGATGAAGATGACGAGGAGGAGGAGGAAGAGGAGGATGACGAGGGGGAGGAGGACGATGGCCAAGAGAGCGAGGGCAAGGGCGAGGAGGAGAAGGGAAGAATCAGTACGATGTGGCATCTTGCGCACCAGCTGCTCTGTCACCTAGCAAGGGGCAGCCCGCGGGAGCGAGCGTCCTGTCGCAGCTGCGATCCGCAGAGTACCAAGGTGTTCAAGAGATCAATCATATCTGGCAGTATGTGGAACCAGCGTCTCAAAGGTCGCAACCAGCAGGTGTTCGTCGACGCGAATAAGCTCTTGGAGGCCGCTAAGCACAGGGCCTGGTCTGGCAACTGCGACACAACTTCGGAGCCCTGGGGAGGGAAGAAGGGGGGATTCCAGCGCTGTCCCTTGCTGTTGAGGCACTCCTCCTCCCCCTCCACATCCCCCCACAGTCAAATATTTGGAATAGGGGGCCACGAGGTTTCGAAAGAGGCTAGGGTTGCCTTGGGCCATTCCTCGGGGGTTCCCTCAGGCGCCCTCTGAATCTGGATAAAGCTGGGGCCAAACAAACAGGTGTCGTTCCGTACGTAGAATACTTTGTCGCGGGATGTGGGCTGTGCTTGTCCGCCATTTCTCCCCCGTCCTCCTCTGGGGGAGAAGGGGGGCGTCACGGACGAGTGCTTTCTTGTCCATTCGTTCGAGTATCGCCCAGGTTTTTTTTGGTCTTGTTGTTCTCGTCGTTGGGTGGTTGAAAGTGCTCAGGTACTGCTACCGCTGTTGGCGCGGTAGCTTGTCGCCCATTGGTGGTCAGTTTGGGATATGCCTTCTTCGTCACTTCGTCGGCTCGGCGCAGCCACTTCCATTGCCGTTGGCTCTGTGCGCCGAAGGCTTCCACTTATTCGGGTTGCGGGTTGGGGTCGTCGCGTCTGTTTTGCCGTTTGGCGATTGAGTTTGCGAGCTCATTCCATGGGTGGCTTGCGCTATCGAGTTTGGGAGAGAGGCGGTCACGTGCGGCTGCGGCACCGATGCCCTGGAGGCACGGCACAGCCCCTCAGCCCCTTCTTGCTCTGCCCCTTGCCCTCGCCCTCGCCCTCGACTTCCTCGCCATCGACCTATTTACGCTTCTTGGCGCCGCTGCCGTTCTTCTGCTTCTACTTGTCTCTGACGTCCTCACCGAGCCTGACACGACAAGCGTGCCGTTCGTCGCTGTCCGACTTCTGGTCGTCTCCCCTGTGCCCTCGTCCTCTGGCGCCTCCTCCTCCTCCTCCTCCTCCTCCTCCTCCTCTGCTTGGCCGCCTACTCTGGGCCCCCTCAGGGCGTCCTCCCGCACCCCTTCCTGCCGCCTCGTCGCCGCCGTCCTGTTCCTCCTACGGCTCCACCTCCTCTCCCTCTTCTTGGCCGCCTGCTCAGGGGCCCCCTGGCGTCCCTCGCCGCCGCCGCCGCCGCTGCCGCCGCCGCGTCCGCGTCCGCCTTCTCCTCCTCCTCCTCCTCCTCCTCCTCCTCCTAACCTCCTCCTCCTCCTTCTCCTCCATATCCTCCTCCTTCTCTTCCTCCACCACCACCACCTCCTCCTCGTCCTCCTCCTCCTCCTCCTCCTCATCATCCTCATCATCATCATCATCATCACCATCATCATCATCACCATCATCATCATCATCATCATCATCATCATCATCATCATCATCATCATCATCATCATCATCATCATCATCGTCATCGTCATCGTCATCGTCATCGTCATCATCATCATCGTCATCATCATCATCCTCACCCTCACCCTCACCCTCATCCTCATCCTCATCCTTCTCATCCCTGTCCTCCTCCTCCTGGCTGCCGTTTCCGGGCCTGTCGAGGGCGTCGTCCTCCAGCGCCTCTGCTGCCAGGAGGGCGGCCCGCGCCCTGGCGGCAAGCCAGCCTCCACCTCGTCGTCCTCCTCCTTGCCCCCCTGCCTCCTCCTGCGGCGTCCGCCGCCGCCGCCTGCAGTGCCGTCGCGGCCGCCAAGCGGGCCGCCGTCGCCCCGGGCCGCGGCCGCTGCAGCCGCAGCAGAATGGCCCGCGCAGTCTCCCCGTGGAGGGAAATGGAGCGTCGCTGGGCCATCCCGTCCGCCACGCTGGTGATCTCCTCCCCGCGCGCGGCGGCCACGCGCTTGGCCAGCACAGCGAAGGCGCGTCGCGTTTCGCCGCCCCAGCTCCCGCCGTGCGCCTTCGCCACCATCGGGATGAAAGCGAGGTCGGCGCCTGCAGTCCTGCGCCGTGCCTTGGTGCTGCCGCTTGTGCTCCTCGTGCCGGTCAAGGGCGGCGCCGGGATCATCGACGGAGTGCGCGATGAGGTCCGCGCGCAAGCCCGACGTCACCGCGAAATCCAGGGCGGCCGGAATCCCGCCGCGCCACCGGGTGACTTAGACGTCCGCGGGCCAGCGGTCGTCATTCGTCGTTGTCCAGGCCGTCACCATCTGGTTCCTCCATGTTCGGACCCTCGCCTTGCTCCCGCGGCGGCAGCACTCGGAGCTTTCCAGCTCCGCCCCCCAGAAGCCGGCCACCTGGGCATCGAAGACGGTGCCGTTGCGGAGCGGTTGTGGCGGCGCGCGCGGTCGCCCTGGCAGGCGCGCGTCAGGGCGCGGTCGCAGTGCATGTCCACGTCTTCTCTGCATGCCGGGCAGAATGCCTCCTCGTCTATCAGTTGGGCCCGGAGCCTGCGCTCGTTCCCGATCTGCATTATGCTGCACGAGACCGCCGTGCCGAGCGCTTCGCTGGGGGGCGCCTGCAGGCGCGCGCTGCAGGCGCCCACTGGCTCCTGGCGCGGCCACCAGGGCCAGGTAGGCGCGCGTCGCGGGCGAGGAGCCGATCCAGAGGGCTGCGCGCGCGGCGTCGTCGACCTTGTCCGAACGGGTCTTCGGGTTGGAGTGCGTCTCGTGGTCGACACCCCCCGCGTCGCCCGCGTCGTTGTCTGCGTAGCCCGCTCGCATGGACTGGCGGAGCTCGCTGCTCTTGGCGCGCGAGGAGAGGTTGGCGGCCGGCGAGTGCTTCTCGGCGGAGCGCGGCCCCAGGCCACCTTGGTTGAGCTTCAGTTGCGCCTGTACCCAGGAATCCCTGGCGAGGGAGGCGCGGGCCAGCTGTTCCAGGCAGGGGCGGACAACGGCGTCCATTTCCAGGAAGGCCTAGGCGCGGGCGGAGGTCTGCACCACGCGCGCCGAGCAGCCCGGCTTTCAGAGGGAGGCCCACTGCCGGAGGAGGTGCAGAGCGATGTGCGCGTTCTCCGAGCCGGCCCACGCGCCCATGTGTTCCGTGGCCTTCTTCGCGCGTTTTTGCGGGTGATGGCGGCAGAATTCGTCGCCCCCGACGGGCGCGCCAAGGAGCTCGAAGCAGCCGTCCGCGAGCAGTCGGAAGCCAGGCGGAAAGTCGGCCTCCGACACGTTGCTGTCTGCCCCCCCCTGTGGGAACCACCTCGCATTTGCCGCTCCGTGCTGCGAGTTCGAGGCCGACTGCTGCGATCTCAGCCGCAATGAGGTGCAGGCAGCGGGCCGCGGCCTGTCTGTCGGCTGCCGCGCGGCCGTAGTCCAAATAGACGAACGAGGTCCAGGCCGGCATCCTGCGCGAGTTTCCAGAGGCTGCGGCGCGCCGTCTCCGTGCGGCGCTGGAGTGCCTGGCAAAAAGAGCAGCGGGCCAAGGGAGTCACCCTGCTGGACTCCGCAGTCAGAGCGAAGCGCCTGTTTGCCGAGGAAGAGCTGTGAGGGGCTGCCGTAGCGCCAGTCCGCCCGCGGTGCCAGCGCTGGAAAGTCTTCGCGCGCAGCTCTCAGGACAGCTCTCCGGTCCAAGGCGTTGAGCGCGCTCGAGAGGTCCAGCTTCATGAAAGCATTGTTTGCCCGTCGCCGCGATTTCGCGCGAACCACTGCCTGGCCACGTGGGCGGCCGCCGCCGCGCCCCCCGGGACAGCCGCGCCGACCTGGAACGGCGCCAGGCGGTCGCGGGTCGTTTCGGCCACCTCTTCGCAAAAGCATTTGCCCGCCAGGCGGCGGAGTGCCTCGCCGACGGCAGCCGGGTGCAGGCCGCTGTCGTTTTAATGGAGGGCCACCAGCGACTTCCTCTTCTTCCTCCTCCTCCTTCTTCTCCTCTTCCTCCTCGTCCTCCTCCTCCTCCTCCTCCTTCTCCTCTTCCCCCCCACCTCTCATTGCCACGGGGCACGCTGCGGATGGATGGTAAGACAAGTGTATTACGTGTATAAGTTTAGCTTCGGCGTCGGTGCGCGGCAGGGGGGGCTCGATCTCTAGGATCTGTACCGCGACGAGGGGACGGCGCAGTGGCTTGTCCAGCACCCCGCCTTCAACTTAGTGCAGTTTCTCGCGGTGGCCTTGAACACCGCTTGGATAGGAATCGAGACAGACTACAACAACAAGGATAGTGGGACGCAGCTGTAGTATAGTTTTGATTGTCCCTGCACTCTCGTCCTCATCAGCTCCCTAGTCTTCATCGCCATAGTTATCGTCACCCTAGTCGTGGTTCTTGTCATCATTCTCATCCTCCTCTTTCTCCTCCGAGAGGGGAGGAGGAGGGTGATAACGAGGAGGAGTTGGTGATTCAGGAAGTACTCCACGCGCGCGCACGCAATACGAACGAATTGCCCTTCTCCGCAGAGCTATAACAACACCCGTTTACACACGAACGCACGCAGACACAACATACCCATCGCTAAAACAGCGGGCGTCTCTGGCCATTTTGTTGTGGGCAAAGGCCAACAATCAAATGACATGAACCCAGATCCCACGAGGAACGTGAGATGCGCAAGCAGACATCAGAACAGGTTCCCACGTCATCACACGTGAAGGCCAACCCGAGCCCTGAACTATATTCAGCGAAGCATGCGCAACATTCACACATCACCCTCGCAAGCCTGCGACTGAAACCCCTGACAGGATCAGATGGCGCATACTCTTGGTCACACACTCACACGCGCTCGCAGCCACGCGCCACGCGCGCGGTGGCGCGGCAGCGCGGCGTAGGGCAAGAAGACACAACACACACACACACGCACACGCACACGCACACGCACACGCACACGCACACGCACACACACACACACACACACACGCGCACGCAAACATACACACATGGGGCGGGGCCTGCTAGAGGAGGAGGACGAGGTAACAGAGAGATAGCATAAGAAGGGAACAGAGGGGAGGAGGAGGAGGAGGAGGAGGAGGAGGAGGAGGAGGAGGAGGGAAGGAGAGGAGGAGGAGGAGGAGGAGGAGGAGGAGGAGGAGGAGGAGGAGGAGGAGGAGTGAGGAGTGAGCAGTGGGCAGTGATGATGCTGCTGCTGATGGTGATGATGATGCTGCTGATGATGATTGTATTATCGTTATTATTATTGATATCCGTATTTCTTATCATTATCATTATCATTACTCTTACTGCTGAATGAATGCATGAATGAATGAACGAATGACTTGATGATGATGCTGATGCTGATGCTGATGCTGATGCTGATGCTGATGCTGATGTTGCTGCTGATGATGAGGATGATGATGATGATGATGATGATGATGATGATGCTGATGCTGATGCTGATGCTGATGCTGATGCTGATGCTGATGCTGATGCTGATGCTGACTGATGGTGATGGTGATGGTGGTGGTGGTGGTGGTGGTGGCGGTGGTGGCGGTAGTGGTGGTGGTGATGGTGGCGGCGGTGGTGGTGGTGGTGATGCTGGTGGTGGTGGGGAGGAGGGTGGTGGGGGGGTGGAGGGTGGTGGGAGGAGGAGGAGGAGGAGGAGGAGGAGGAGGAGGAGGAGGAGGAGGAGACGGAGGAGGAGGAGGCGAAGGAGAGGAGGAGGCGAAGGAGGAGGAGGAGGAGGAAGAGGAGGAGGAGGAGGAGGAGGTGGAGGAGGAGGAGGAGGAAGAGGAGAGAGGGAACAGAGGGGGAAATGGAGGAGGGAGGCGGGAGCAGGTTTTTGTCCACTGGTGTTGACGGTTCCGGTGTTGCTAGAGGTGGTCTTGGCCCAAGGTGGCCCCAGCTTGTCCAGGGAAGCCCAGATGGCCTTCAGAGCACCTATCGCGAGTTCCAGGGGTCCCCAGGGGCTTAATTAAGCTAGGGGCACCTAGGGCCAGGGACACACTTGGCAACCCACATTGGGCAGCCCCGAACGGTTGCCAGGGGATTCGATGGTGGTCGGGAAGCCCTCGAGGGCTTCCCTGGGCCTCGAAGTCATGAGAGCAAGAAGAGCCACTACCACCAGAACTCCATAGAACTCCGTTCCCAAAGACCCCCACCCGAGTTGGTGGCACTCCGTTCTGGGCACTCTGGGGGCGCGCCCAGAACGGGGTGCCACCAGCTCAGGGAAGGGGGAGCGGCTAGCCCCCCTAGCTGGTGGTGATGGTGGTTCTTTCTTCTCTGGTGGCGAAGGGAATTCCAGGGCCCCGCGGAGTCTGCCGGGAGGGCTCCACTACTGGCGCTCGTCGGCCGCACATGAGAGTGGCTCGGCACCAGAGTGCCCTTTGGTGCGCGGCTTTCGGGTGGCGCGGGGGCCAAAACCACACCCGCATGCCGCTGTTGTCGCATCGCATGTACCCGTCGATCGTTGAGAGTATTTCTTTTTGGATCCTCAGACTTCAATGCTCGAGTCTCGTCCCCATTTTAACTTTAGGGGGTGGGCGGAAGCCCAATGCACTTCCAACGCCTTCCTACTTCATGTTTCTACCTTCCGACCGACGGGTAGCGATATCAGGTATCAGGAAGCCGCGCACCCAAGGTCACTCTTGTCTGGGGTCACTGTTCGGAAACTGGAACACATACATTACCAATGGCGGGGTGTTTTTCAATCCTAGGACTTTTTGAGGGTCGGGGACGACGTCGGGGTGGTGTGGTGTACACTGTTGTCCTTTTCCCCAGGAAAGAACGAAAAATGTATACACCAGGATGCCGTATACACTGGGATCCGCTCCGCTTCCCTGTGCAAATTTGAGTGCAGGGCCGGAAAAAGCGTCGACGAATAGAGCTTGTTTCCCTAACTGTTGCGTGCAGCCGAAAGTCGTGGTACCGTCGAGGTCTGCGGCGTCTCCAGGAGCTCCCAGGGAGCCTCCGAGGGTCTGTCGTGTGCCTGCCGTCGGTCGTCGGTCCTCTGGAGCCTTCAAACGCGGCCCCTTGGAGCTTCCAGCGGCTCTCAGGCGGGCTCCAGGCGTATTTCCACAGGTGGTCGTTTTCTTATTCATTGTTGTGACGATCGGCGCGGGCCCTCGCACCCCTTTTCCCCCCCCATGGAGTAGAGCTTGGCTGTTTTTGGCGCCTGTCTCAAGCTGGTGGGGTCTCTCCCACAGGGCACACTGTTGGAAACAGTCGCATTAAGCAGAGGTCCGGAGCCAGACGCCTCCCCTCCCCCCCCCTTCCGCCCAGTGTCGAGATGCCGAGAAAGAAAACGCTCACCAGGCCTCCCTGGGGACCGGCAGGCCCCTTCGGTGATGTCCGGGCGTGAAGTGCAGTTCCTCTCGTGCTGGCAGGCGCGCTCTCGGGCAGCCCCTCGGGAGGAGAGAGGGTGGAGGGGGGAAGAAGAGTGAGGAGGAGGAGGCGGAGGAGCAGGGGGAAGAGGCTGGGGGCGCGGGATGGTGAACATGATATTAGTGATGATGGTGATGGGGGTGATGATGATTGTGATGGTGATGAAGATGAGGATGATGATGACGATGATGATCAGGATGAGGACTCTGACAAGTGTAGACCCAAGACTCATCAACGATGTGATAATAAACCCTCCAAATGTTGATTTCTTCGAGGGAAGTGCCCCGTTGGAAGACAGCCGTTTTTTCAAAGCCGAAACTGTGCCAGTATATTATTCCGGGAACTTCAACGCCGCGAATCACCGTTACTGTTGCGTCTTGACGATCCTGCACCGCGCCAGAACACCATTCCTTGGACTCCAGCACCGCGAATTAACATGACTATTGCGCCCTGACATTCCGACATCGTGCTAAAGACCGTGCTTGGGACGTTGACCGTGAGAATCCTTGGAAGTGCTGCAATCTTTGAAGACGACTGTGCGCGGCGCTGAGGCGAGAGCCACGTTTTGAAGAGGAGCCGCCCTCCATCCGCCAAGCTCTTGCACATGTTTAAGACGAATGTGCGCGGCGCAAATGCGAGAGCCGCATTTTGAAAGCGGCCCGCCTTCCATCCGAGAGACTCTTGCAAATGTTTAAGTCGACTGTGCGCGGCGCTAAGGCGAGAGCCGAATTTTGAAAACGGCGAGCCCTTCATCCGTGAAACTCTTGCAAATTTTAAGTTTCAGGGTCGTAGATGATGAGGAGGTCTCAGCCGAAACGCCGAGCCCGCCCTTTCGACTGGCCTCGGGGGGCGACAGGGGGAAGTTATTAGTAAGGAAAGGGATTGATAATGAGAAGTGATGACTTGGACGCCGATGACGACGATGATGATGATGCTGATGATGATGATGATGATGATGATGATGATGATGATGATTGTGATGATGCTAGTGATGATGTTTCATGACGATGGTGACGACTGCAAAGATGACGATCAGGAGGATACGCAAGAGGGGGGCCGGGGGAGCATAATCTTGAGGGGCACTGGATTGAGAAGGGGAAGGAGGTCGGCAAAGCGCGATTCCAGCTACCCTCAGGACATTCTTTACGAGGCCGATTCGAGCATTGTTGTGGTGGAGAACTTGTTCTGCATGTTCTTTTTGGTTGAGTGGATTGTCCGGCTTTGCGCGTTCAGGCGAAAGGTGGAATGTTTCAGTGATTTGTGGTTTGTGTTCGACACGGCGCTTCTGGCCATGATGATTTTCGAGACGTGGGTATTGTTCACTGCGCGGGCCTTCGCCGGTCCTGGTCACTGTTCGCTGTATTGAGATACTTGTCAACCACGCACACAGAAGATGACACAGGGGATATCCACCACGAATCAAGGTGGTATTGAAGGCATTCTCTTTTGACCTACGCACATCGGCTAAGCGCAACAGTGCCCCTTCCCTGGAGTGATAAGTACGGGCCCACAGGAGTCACCCCAGCATTTGCTTGCGCGCTTAGGTTTCTGGTGGGACTCGATGTGCAAACCGCATTGTTTGGTCGGCCAAGGAGCAAAGGATTTCGGCGAAGGAATTCTGTGCATAGACGCGTCCTACAGCCAGTGGAGACGGGGCGTCAAAACACCGAGCTCCTTGGTCAACCAGACGGCCTGGTTTATATTTGAGCCCCTTCCCAGGTTTGGCACCCCCGCGGCCGCCTGAAGCCGCGCACCAAAGGTCACTCTTGCCTTGGGTCGCTCGTGCGCGTAGCCGAGAACATCAGGGGCAACGTTAGGGAGGGTAGGCCCAGGGGGGGGATGCATCGATCCCCAACCGCCCACTCATCGCCGATAGGGGCCTGATGGCCCACCTCGCCCAGGAACGTACAGCTTCGCTGTCGAGAGCAGG